TTTTTTTTTTTTTTTTTTTTTTTTTTTTTTCAGACCTAATCTCTACATCTCCCAACTTGTAAAAGAAGAAATTACTCAGAAAAAAACATATATTGTGACATTGTTTGTGGTTTCAATAAGTTGCCTTCATGATCATATGTTTCAAAAAAAAAAAAAAAATCCATTTAATGTGTTGTGTTTTTTGATCTCAGGATAAGCTTGCTTCCTCGAATGATTGATGCCAAGTATCTGGACATCATGGATTCCCAGTACATGTAGGACAGCTGAGCAACATTGTGAAAAGATGGAAGACAGAAGGGAACAGACCGACAATATTTAATGTACCCACGCGATTTCACCTGAAGCACCTAATAGTGACAGGGTTTCCACTTCTTTTCCATAAACCTCACTGTAACTCTAACTGCCTTCAATCTGAAGCATTTCTGCAGTTTAGTGTCACTCTCATAGGTAGAAAAAAAACATATATACACACAGATAAACATATATGTTTGTCACGTTTTAAATAAATACAAATGTTAGTTGTTTTATTCAGATATATTTTTAAATGAGGGTCACTTCTGTTGTAATGTTTTAAATCACATGCTGATGAGGTGACTTCACTGCAAGCAATTTGACAGAACAAACCATTTTAACACTTAAAAACGATCACCTCTCTTAAGCAGATGTTCATTTAGTTATGAAGCTTTTATTCTGATGAGTCACATGATGTATTATATGCTGTCATGGCTGTGACAAGTTGTTTTTTTTATTTAAATATTGGAGGGCCAAATAAAAAAACTTTTAACCCAACTGGTTTAGCACAATTTACCACAGTAAATTTATATGTTTCAAAGAGAAATATGCACAGACTTTTTTTAATTTTTATTTTTTATTTTTTGCACAATTCAAGTCTGAAAATACAAATCCATCCCACTGCAGGGCTCTTATAGTTTGGTGGAGGACTGCTGCGACTATTTTGATTTGAAAAGGACACCAATAGATGGCAGTGGAGGATCACACCTCATATATTCAAATTCCACCTTGTGCATGTGCGTGTGTGTGTATGTGTGTATGTGTAGTATCCATTGTAATACAGAGAAAAGGATATATCCATGGCAGCCTTCATCTTGTAAAAGAGATGGTGATAATGAAGTTATGACCACCCAGTTATTAAGCATGAGTGGTTTCCAAATGTCACCAGGTTTATATGATCAGACATCTAATTTGTTTCATGTGTTTGTTTTCCTGCACAGCCACTTTTCTAATCCAACACCTGCATTATTCGTCTGTTTTCATCAAAACTTTCATTAATACTGCAAAGTTGTCAGAGCAGCTGCTGTTTTCTATTCTGTCTGTACTCAGTGCTTTTCATATATATGTAGAAATGTGTGTTTGATGTGAACCTACAATAAAATTCAAAGCATTCACATTCACAAGCTGTTCACTATTAATGCCATGAAACAATAAAGTGGCTATTAAAACAATCAGAGAGAGCAGGAAGTAAGGGTTTTAATTCAAAGGATTAATTTGCTTAAAGAAAAATACCCTGTGTTGCATAAATTTTGTCATGCATCAAAAGGTAAAATGCCAAACAAATAAGAAAACCTATAAAATTCTAACATTCAAAAACTAAAGAAAGTATTACTGTTAGAAAATTAATTAGAATGTGATCTGAATTGAGGAAGAGAAAACTGAATTTGAAAAAAAAAAAAAAAAAGGAGATCCACAATATCAAAACACAACATGTTTCAAGCAGCTGAAATGTATTGAAATAAAAACGACATTTCTATTCAACAATTTGGCTTATTTTCATCAGGGAAGCAAGTCAGAAGTGTAAACAGGTTAGTTTTGTACACACAAAGACATAAAGCCACATGATGATACTTTTGATACACCAAAAATCAAACACGCCTTTGGCAAAATTAAATTTAATAAGTTTGCTTCCGATGGGCAATGAGAAAGCAATTATTTTAATGCTACGGAAAACAAAAGGAGCTGATCTGTTTTTGTCTGCATTTTATTTTACTTTAAAATGTCTTTTTCTCTGAATCTTTTGACATCTACTTGGTGATAGAGGGTTGGAAGGCCTCCTTGTTGCCCCCAATAGCTTTAAGAGGGGTGACAAGGTGCTCCTCCATGGAGTTTGAACATTCTCCCTGGATTTTCTCCAAATACTCTAACTTCATCTTTCAGAACAGCAGCATTTTTATAAGCTTGTTTAGTTATTTGGCTTTGCTAGATTGCCCTTTGGTGTGAATATGCACATGTCTGGTTTGTTGTGTTGTCTGTCTCAGTGCTGCCTTGTGATGGACCACTGAATGCCTTTTCCCAATTCCCAATAGGGAACCATGCAGGCCTGCAATCCTGACAAGAAATAAGCTGATATGGAAAGTGGGTGAATTTTCTTGCTGTACTGCTGAAATAAACATTTTATGTAAAAAATAATAATAATTGAAGTTCTTGAAACTCAAGCACTTACAAAAAGCATGAACGTGAATGTGTTGAATCCATATATTTACCCATAGTTTTTAGTAGCATATTTTACGAAACAATTTTTAATAGTTAATATATTTGATAGATTTAAAAGCTCAGGGTACTTTGCCCCTGACCCATGTCCACATCCCCTGCAGAGGGAAATAAATTTAAGTCATTTAAGTGAACTTGTTTTGCAGAGAAGAATTTCTTCCTGCATCCAAATAAAAGGGCAGATTTAAACAGGAAGCCTTAACGGTTGAAATCACACCATGATGACCTTCATGTGTAGCTCTTAAGTCTCAGATGAACAGCAATGTGAGCCATTTTCAGGAACGAGAGGAGAAATCCAGACAATCCTGCCATGGCTTCACTGAGATTGGTTCTCTAAAGGGATTTGAATCCCATGGGGGAAAAAAAAAAAAACGAGTCACAGATGATGCTACTGTCACAACCTCTTGGTCACCATAGAGATGCTGTCAATTAATTTGCCTTCACAGCAATCTTAAGTTTCGTTTGTCTGACAACTATATGGAACACCTCAGCCTTATCTGAGATCTCTGCTGAATAAATTGTGTTTATGTCTGGACAGGTAGTGCCCAGCATCTTCATTAGTCCTTTCCTGCACATTTCTAATGGCCTTTAGGTACCCGTATTGCCTTGTCTACCTGTCGTCTCCTGCACATTAAGGAGGTGTCACCAGCAGAGCCTGTGTGCCCCTGGTAGCCTCTCAAGTCAGAGAAATTCCAGCGTTCCTCTAGACTGCCTCCCTCCGACACCAGTCAGCTCAGCCCGATGATGCAGGACAGCTGGAGAAAATGAGCCTCCCTCCCCCAGACACATAAAGAGGAGCAGCTCATAATTATTAACTTGCATGAGTCCATAGAATCTATCTTTCTTATCAAAATGACAGATCATTTTGTCATGATTCAAAATGTGAACCAGTTTTACAGTAGAAAAAAAACCCAGAAACTGTATTTGGATTCTATGCAAGATAATGCAATTTATTCCTTGTGATTATTTGCTTTTTGCAAACTGAGGTAAAGTTCCATGACTTACTTGGAGCATTGGCCAGTTGAGTGGTGCAATTTGAGACAAGCCTCATCTATTAGACAAACAGTTTGCAATTTACTGCAGTTTATCTTTGACCTAAGCACTGTCCTGATCTGCAAAATAACCCCAAATAGTCACCTTTCCGAAATGACACTTAAACATATATGAGAACGAGAGGTTCACATTTGAAATATCATCTGCATAAAAAAGATGAAAGCTTCCACAACTACTGTTTTTTTTTTTCAATGCAACTCAGCAAATTTATGACTTGCACTGTTTCTTTCCAACAGGAAGACATTCTCCTTATCTATTTGCATCGCTTTGAACATTAGCATTTAGTATTTTACCTGAGGCCTCTCCTGCAGGTTTTAGGTTTTTTGTTTGTTTGTTTGTTTTTTTCCTGAGTACCACTCAGTGTCGCATCTGAGTAAACTTTCTGAGTTATCCAATAATCCAAAGACTCCAAACTTTCTTTCTTGAAAATAATTTCTCAACTCAACAATTAGATTGCAATTTTTTTATAACAGGTTTTTGTGCCTTAATAGCATATGTTTGTTGGTTACCCATTAGATTTTCTGAGTGTAAATGTGGCTTCAGCAATTTAGAGTATCACTAGTACTAAATGGCCTGTATTTGTACAAAAAAGGGGAAATTTAGGGACACTATCTAGTGAGCTATAAATATATATAATGTGGGATTGACTTACAAAGTTGTATAGACTAGTGAATATATTTGCAAATGTATTGTGAGGTTTGGTATGAAAAAAGCATAAAAAACAGGTGTCTGTTGTTTCATTATTTTAGTGAAATGGCATTTTCTTAAATAGCATAGTCTGCCATTTTGTATAAGTCATATAATTCAAACAACAATCCATAGTGAAACTTCAAATGTTTGAAAATGTACAACTGAGAGGGTTCTGCATATTTTTCAGACACAATTTTATACAAAGTCTCAGAGTTCTCATTGCAAGTGCAAAAGTTCAAAATGGATGGACTGACATAACTTTTGACCAACAAGTTAGCACCTTAATTAAGTCAGCAACTGAAAGACACTTGAACAAAATTCCAGACATTTCCAAAGTACATATGAACCCTTTAATTATAATACCCTAAATGACAATATACCCCTAATTATTGTTTTAAAAATTCAATTAGATCTGGCAGATCCAGACAAAATAAGTCAATTCTTAAAATAAAGTCATATGAAGACCAAGGTACTCCCCTAAAAGAGCAGAATATCGTATCTAAAGGGTTGTGTGTTCAAAAAAATGTTCCTTTAATCATACTAAAGAACATACAAAGTGACACAGGCTCTCTTGTGTGAGAGTTTGTCTGCATGTCTTAAACAGAGACGGCATCAGAAGGAAACACTCTTTTCGTCTGAGTATGTGTGAAGATGGCACCCCACAGAGAAGACAAAACAGAGCAGACTATTTTTGCTGTATTTTTTTTACACCGTATAACATAACTTATCGTATTTTTAGAATCACAGATGGTGAACTTGCTTGGTTATTTTAAATACTCAGCAATATTACATGGAGTCTGCTAATTCTTAAGCTTTGATGTTGATTAAGGAGAAACATTTGTATCCCTTCTTTGGTCAGCAGCCTCTGAGCTTAACACAGCCAACAATGGGACAGCACAAAAAGGACTTTCACACACAAATTAGCAAAGGCATTCTCACACATGCTCTCACCTCCAATATTCACACTTCTGCTTGCACTTCATTTTTATTACGCTCACACTTAATTCTTCAATGTTCTCCTTCAGTCTGGTGAGGAGAGGAAGCCTTTGCAAGGCAGGACTTATACACTCGCAGAGCCGACGAAAATCAAAATGGCTAAGGTGACAGCAAAGACACATATCTACTGCATGAGCTGTTGTAGCTCATAGAATCTCGCGTTAATAAGTAGGCTGATCAAGCCAAGCGCAGATGTCAGGATGAATTATCATCATGTAAGTCTGTCTGGTGTATCATTACTGACAATGGAGCTGTGACTTCTCATGTGCAGCCGGAGCAGGAGAGACCTGCTTTTAGTTCAATATGGGCTAAAGAACACTTTGAACAGGAAAAGAAGCCACCCAACACATACTAAAGTATAGTTGCACATAACAGCAGTTAGGTATTTAAAACCTAATGCAAAAAAGAAAAAAAAGAAAAAAATATATACCTGAATATCAAAGTAAGGACTTAGATTTTAAAGTCAGTGTTCAAGGGATACTGATGACTGATGGGATCAAGGTGCTTTGTGAAGAAAATTCTGACTTCATAAAACCCTCCACTGACAGCGTGTGGCGACCTTGACAAGATGGTGGGCATGAATAAGCTCATCAGTGAGTTGTGGAAATGGGGATGGGTGATATAATTAGAAGGCAATAACAGCAGAAGGACAGAAGCTGAGACGCACTAAGGAAGCAAAGACCTCCTGGTTCTCAGAGGAGCAGTTGAGACCTCAAAGGTTAGCACTAACAAGATATTGACCACAGGGAAGGTCAGGGGCTGCAGTGCTTTGTGCTGCGTCAGGACAAAGCGCTGCAGCTACTTTCCATGACCTCTATGATGAGTGACATGCAACATGGAGCCATTACTGCAATATGTTTAGCAAAAAATCACTATAAGTGGCTGCGGCTTGTACTGTAATCAGAAACTCTCTACTACACAATAACCAGGCATAACACAACATAACATCTGACAGATGAATGGAATAACACTTTTTATTTCAACATAATTATGATTATTAATATCATGTCTTGCTCTTTCTGTCTGCTTATCTAATTTGTGTTTTTCCTGACTGCATGAAAAGTGGTCAAGTCTGATTGAGCCAAACACTTTTCAGTGGGTGGGGAGGCAAAGAGGGAACGTTTTGTCCACAAAGTTGATCTGATGGAAGAAATTGGCAAGTTTGAAGATTTGAGCGAGTTTGACAAACAGACATCCCACAAGACTGCAGCTGCTGTGACATGT